TACAGAGTGGTGAGAACTATGCCGACGAGGCGATTGACGCACAAACATCGGCCGCTTCACTCAGAGGTCATGATGTGCCATTGTAATCAATCTCGACGTTTGATGAGTCTCGTAGATTCTAGTAGTTCTGCTGCGCCATCTCGCACGATGGCATCTGTAGCACCCCGTCATGCCGAGTCCAAAGCTACATACTCAACAGCGATGGAAGTTCGGTACCACACAGTATTCATGAGAGAATGCCGACAAATTTCAAGAGTTTAATCCAGCGCGTCAGGAACTGCTGAAGAATTAGAAAAATGTGCCCCCAACCCTCGTGATTCACAGCGAGAAGGACTATTGGTGTCTGATCACAGAGGGTCTGGCGTAGTTCAACACTCTGCAGGAGCTAGTGATACCTAGCCGACTCTTGTCATCTTCTGATAAACCAAGACTGGTTTCACACTATAAATTATTTCGTCCATTTTGGGTCTTAGACCACGGTGACAACCAGGCTGTTGGAATCCCTTTCCATGGAAGCAGCGAGGAGTGCCCTGTCGAAAGTCGTCGGTGAGAATTGGGTTGACTTTATAATACGAGACAGAGGGCTCTTGTGAGTGACATATCCAAATACCGCACCAGCAGCACGATACTCCATGTGCGCTCCAGGACGACAATATTAAAAAGCACACAGTTATGGTGGGATCTCAGACACTTCTTGGCCACTTCTCGACGTTTAATTTGGCACATTTCGCCATAAGGGCTTGATAGCGCTTGCAGCGTAATGACCCAATTCAAAGATAATCTGGTAGGGTAGCATGTCAAAGCTCCTTGGTTTTCCAAGAGGAAAGAAGGGACGAGTGACCACTACATATATATACGTGAAGGGAACAGCTGTGCCCAAGGTTTCCATAAGGTCACGTGTTGAATCTGTGTAACCTTGAGGTCCTTTATCCGCGATGCCCTTTTTTTGGGCTTCAAAGTTGTTGGATCCTAACCGTGTAACAGATCCACCAGACTCAACATAAACACCCACTGTTAACCAACCTTCCAGAGCGACTCATTTGGTTACATGGTTGTTTACGTGTACGTGGAAGCTCTTCCAAGAAGCTACTGCTCCAAATCTGGCAAGGGTCCGAACAACTCAGCCGATAGGTAGAAAGTCAGCCCGAGGCTGCCATCTGGACTCTGTTTCAACGACACCCAGCTATGCAGACCTTGCCCATCGGACAGCGAACGCTGCCTCAAGGCTACGATTGATCGCACATAATGCGGCAGCACCATTGGAGCCTTGTTTGAACAGTACTCGACAACTCTGCAATGTATCTCAGCATCGTTGCGTGCATATTCAGACACGGGGAAATGAACAGTGACGGATGGTTCTGTGCGGTCTGTCGTGAAGGCGAAGCAAGTCACCATCGACTTGCGCTGGAAGGGACCTGTCGTGTCGCCACTCATGGCGCGTAGGAATGCAACAATGTCATCTCGATTGTCTGCTTTCAAGTACAAGCAAACCTTTTGAATCATGTCGGCAACACTTTGAGCCGTAGCATTCGGATGCTCGATGTATATCTTGATGCGAGCGTCACATCCTTTCTCGAGATCGAGGGAGAAATAGCAGAACCGATCTGTCGGCTCCATGCCCCGCTTGAGTTGCTCGAAAGTGTGCGCAAATCCCAGACGGTCAAGTGATTCTCGGATGACCATTTCTCGTTGTGGCGCTCCCAAAGCGTCAGGATTGAGGTAAATTTTCCAGTCGGCGCGTTTACTGCCAGGCGAAATGCAAGCACTGTGCCAAGCCGCGAAGCGTGAACCGTTTTGCGCATCATTGATTTCCGGAATGAACAAGTCTTTTATCATATCGAACCGTTTGAATGAAGGTGCGTCATCCTGCCGCTGGCTCAAGGTACGGTTCAACTCCAAAGCGGCCAATTGAAGATCTGCTAGCTTCACTTTGGCCACTTCCTCTGGCGGCTGCGCTTCAATCAAGAATCGAAGCTGGGGCGTTCCGGTATTAACATCAAAGGAGACGGAATATTCAATGGGGGCATGGTTATTTCCCACATTAGAGATGTGCCCGTTGATAGATTTGCTGACAGCACTTTCTCCCCAGGCGCCCATTGCGAGTTGCATTTCTCGGACCAAGACTTCTGCGGAATCGTCATTGAACGAGAGACAACGACCGAGTACTCTGATTTGAGATTCAGCTGCCGAAAGAAAAGTTTTATTCGTTGGAGACTGGCTCCCATCGCTCCTACTTGCAGAGACAAGAGCAAATCCGCACTGGAAGTGGCGGATTCGAAGATGCTTGCCCCTCACAATTCTCACATTGGGAAGAAGATGTCGCTGGTGATATAACTTAGAAATGGCCGCCACGGTGTAGTCAATATGGCCGTCATTCATGGAATTCCGGGGAACCGCAAAGCGGACCAGGTCAGGAATGGTGTCTCGCTCCTCTTCAGACTGCTTCTTGTCCCATTCCCAAGCAAATGGTCCAGCCTCGGCGGCTCGAATTCCATACTGGCGTAGAAGCTCAATGGTGAATCCCACAGAGGCAAAGTCACCCGGCGACCGCGGACAGTCGGCGAAGAATGCATTCATGTCCAGATATATGGCATGTCCTCCTGGCGGCCACAGTATCGGTACTCCGACAGAATGGAGTTTCTGCGCAAAAGATCTTACCTGCCCGATGCGGCTCCTCAGAAAAGACTCTTTGGTGGTCTCGTACAGGCCTGCCGCCGCAGCCATCAAGTCACGGCCGCTCATCCCGCCGTAGGAGTCGTTTCCATAAGCTAGAATTTGCCGTTCTTTGAGCCGGACGCCTATGTCTTCAAACTTCTTCATGAGGCAGCCATTGTCGCGAATAGCAAGGGCACCGCCCATGTTGGACATGCCGTCCTTTTTAAGACTGATAGTGAAACCGTCTACTAGACTGAACATCTCTTTGACGATTTCGGCAATGGAACAGGCATCATACCCCGGCTCGAATTCTTGTATGAACCTAGCATTCTCAGCAAAGCGGCAAGCATCGAAAAAACATGGAATATTGAAGCCCTTGGCCAGCGACGCTGCGGCGCGCATGTTGGCCATGGACACAGGCTGTGCCGCGGCAAAGTTGTTGGTGATGGTGATGAGTATGAGCGCTGTTCGATGGTGGTTTTTGGCTAAAAAGTTGCGAGTTGCCAGCAGGTCGAGATTGCCTTTGAATGGATTATGGCCGGATACCTCATTGGGATTGAACGGCTCGCGGAGACCGGGCTGAAGAAAGGTTGCCAGCTCGAAGCCAGCGGCAGCGGCATTGGCCCCAGTCGTATCAAAGAAGCCGTTACTGATAATAACGGGCGCGACCGAGGCATCGTTGGATGAGGACGAATTCATCAGTTCTGAGAAGAGAATCGCCTCGGCGCAACGGCCCTGCGGCATAATGTAGAAATTGGGGCGGGCGAGCTGGACATGTCCTCCATTGACAAATCCCCCCTGGCTCGGTTGCAGCAATGTGTTGCAATATAGTTGACTGTCGACAGTGCCGGCCATGACATGACGAAACAGATATCTACGATCATGTCCCCTCTCGAAAATATCCCGAAAAGCGTCCTGCAGACAATAGTACCCGGCGTTGCGCCCGTAGGATTCGTCACCGCGCAGCAAGGCAGCCCACTGAACATCTGTCATGGCAGAGGTTCCCGAGTCGGAGAGGAAGTCGCAATATACCATCTCTGCGGGGAATGCGAATACATTGTACTCGATTTCCTTCAAGATGTGCTCTCGCTCCTGCACAGTCGACTGAACGGCCGTCCGAACCACCAGCGTGCGATGGACGGGGACCGGCGGCAGATTGTCAGAGTAGGCAGCCATACTTTCAGACGTCTGGTGTTTCGTTCATGTAGTTTGGAAATCGCGCGTGGTACGTATAGATGCGTTTTAGTATATGCAAGTCACGTCGCCATAAAAGGCACGGGCCGAACCTTGAACCCAACAGTGGTTGCACAAGGGCTCGAGACCTAGTTCAACGCCTTAGGCTTCCAGGCTCGCTTTATTATCGCTTTTTGGTATAGATAAGAGTTATTTACCATTAAGGCTTTGAGGAAAACTAAGGGCCTTTAATATTAAAGCGAATTACTACTCAAACAAGTAATTGTTCCGAGCCCCTCGCGCGAGCCCTTGTCGCGCGTTTGACGGCGGGCTAAAAAAACTTGAAAAATAGAGGTGGTTGGTCACGATCCTTTTTCCAAAGCTCAAATCAGGGCTTGGTTTGACATGGAGTCAAGGCGGGGGTCTTCAGGGGTTACAATAAGAAAGGGTCAACTCAATGTCTCGGGTTTCAGGGCCTGGCCCTAAACGAAGTTCTGCAGTAGTATCAATATCAGAAATTTCACTCAATAACGGCACTCAAAACCCTCCAGTTCAAATGCCTTTATTCCCCGGTGTAAATTGTTGTTATTTTCCCTACACCAAGCACGCTGCCAAGCCGGATGGGCTGCATTTCAAAAGGTCAAGCTGGGAATGGTTAAAATAGAGTGGGGGATGTGACAAGGGCTTAGTTATAAGGGCTTGGAACAAACCGTATTTAGCTAATAATTCGCTTTAATAATATCCCTTCTTTATATCAAACAGCGGTGAGCAAGCGAGGCTAAAAGCCTTCCGGCTTAACTGGGCCTCGAGCCCTTGTGTAACTATCGTCAAGCTCAAGGTACGGCCTGTCCCTCAATGCAACGTGACCTCCGTGTAACGGGAGGGAGTAACCGTGATTCCCCCGCCGAAACTTAATAAGTAGTCTGGTAATATTATATTTTAACTACTACATTGTGAAATTAGAAATAGACATTATAATGTAGTTTAGTTATTTATTTATTCCAACAGCTAGGGTTCCTAAGAGATACGCCAGTTAGAGTTCATGTTAGCAGAGCCACTACGTATTATGTAACTATAATACTCTGTGATAGTTCCATGTTCTCTCAAATCCATACAAAAACAGCAGTGCGGGTATCTGCTAGTAAGAGTTAGCCCGAGATATGACACACACCTTATCCCTTGTTATTTCCTGTTGGAATTTTAAACAATACCGCCTTGCCACTAGGTCCTTGACCAATTGGCTTATCCATGCGAAAATACCCCTTCCGCTCAATCTGAATAATATCACCTTCGAGGAGCTGACTAAACTCAGAACCCACCAATACATCTGTAAGCCAGGACGTGACGGGGTTTAGATAGTGCTCCAGCTCATCACCCTTCACAAGACTATCTTTAGTTAGCAGATAGTCAAACTCCCAAAGCTCCGCTCTGGCAATTTCGGCACCGTGAGCAGCTAGCCAGTGAACTTTCTTGTCCGTTTTGCTAGCGTCGCCATCAAGATGGAGCTCAAGGTGTAACGCGGTCACGGCCTGGTCATCGGATCTCGTGACCTGTCGAACAAGCGCATTTCCCCAGCTCATAAGTGTAATCTCCTCGCCCTGTCGAACGGCCGCCGCGTCTGCTGTTCAATGTAAATTTTGTTGGCAAATGTGACATCTTTGGTTCCTAGACTATGATTCTTAGGGTGTTTCGGTCGACTGTCTTGCCTGGGATGATCTGGACCTCCCGCCACGGTGGCCAAAACGCAACCCACGGATGCCACAGCAGTGTGTCTCGGTGCAATCGGCTCAATCATCTTCTTGTTCATCGCCCAAAGGGTGGTCCAGTCCATGGAAACAACGTTCCGGCTCGGGCCCTGCTTTAGCATGAACTCGCGTAGCGCTGCTACCGTAAGACCGCGGCGGAGAATGCCCCGGATAGTAGGCATTCGAGGATCATCCCAGCCATCCACAATTCCAGATTCAACTACTTTTGCCAGCTTTCTCTTAGATAAGAACGTCTTGATAAAGTTGATTCGCGCAAAGTCCCAGAGGTACACTGGCCGTAACTTGAGAGCACGTAAAAACCAGTAGTACTGCTCGTTGCGGTCAGAGTACTCAGTCGTCCGGAGAGCGTGGGTTACGCCCTCGATGGAGTCGACCAGAGGGCAGGCAAAGTCATATGTGGGATAAATGTTCCAGTCCCAGCCGGTTCGGTGATGTGGCCGTGGTCCATCCTCGGGGTCCCAGCTGGGAAAGCGGTAGATGATTGGGTCACGCATTGAACCGTTTGAACTGTCAAAGGCGATGCGTGCTCGGATACAGTGTCCTTTGCCAAACTCTGTTCCTTCCCTCATCTCTTTGAAGATGGCGAGGCTCTCGCTCGTGGGGCGATCTCGTCGTTTACTGGGAAGGCGATCACGACGGTTGTCTTTTTGTATTTTGCTATCCGTATCCTCGGCATATGCGTTTCCATCCGAAATAAGTTGACAGCACAAGTCGTAAAGCTTCTCAAAGTAATCACTAGTGTATGTCACGCGCTGTGTTTTGATGCCCAGTAGACCTAGGTCGTGAAGAATAGAGTCCTCGAATTCCTGGTTCTCTCTCGTGGGGTTGGTATCATCAAAACGTAGAATGAGGGACCCGGAAAAAGCATCGTGCGCAAAGTAGTCGTTTAAAAAGGCGGCCTTGGCATGCCCAATTTGTAGATACCCCCTAAACACGATTAGAAAACCCAATGTCCCAAAACAGGTATCCCAGTAAACAGATTCTTACGACGGCTCTGGCGGAAATCTAGTCACTACGCCGTTCTCTGTAGCTTGTAGCTTGATGTTGTAGCGGCCCCTTGTCTGGTTGGCGGTAGCATCAGTGTTGGTTGCACTGACGAGTTCACCAGCGGTTGGTCGAAGATCAGGATAGGTGCATTGGATATGGGAAAACCATCGTGTCAAGTTCGGAAATATCGCTCTCCTAATCAGTCCAAGCGCGACTTTATTCAGTCGCAGAACGGTCCAAATTTGCTCATCTGCGGTGCCCAGGGTGTAGCCTCTAATGAATGTACGAAGGGTAAGGAATCGATCAAATTTTTGAAGAAAAGGCTCAATTGTCTTGAAATCTACGACTTCAAGCCGAGCTTTCATCAAAAGAAGGCTTTGGTCATTCATATTCGGCCCGTGTCTGCTTCGCAACCTGAAGCGCTTGCGTGTGTGGTGATGTGTGACTCAAACATGCTAGAGAGAAATGACGCAGTCACAATTAGCATAGTGTAACAAAGGGGGCGTTCAGATTGGGTAAATTTCGGTAATGCAATGCTTCCTAGCCCACAAATATCCTCCAGGTTGAATATGCAACCACTCAAGCCATCCTGAAAGGAGCTGCTTGGCCAATGCGTCAACCGGCGTATTCTACCGAACGTTTTCCTCGCTGACACGTATGCTTTAGTTATTAATGTTGAGGTTGTTTCGCTCTGTAGTCAAATGAAATCACAAGCATATGCTTTAGTTATGACTTGTTTATTTCTACATCATTAAGTCATGTATTTACGTGCTGAATCGCGTGGACAGCCGATCAAGCTGTTGGAATCCGGCAACGTAATCGCAACGATTGGGAGTTGCGCTTGCGTCTTGATGTATGTTATCATTGCAATGCTGTGGGCTCTGTAGTGCAAATTCTAGTATTTCGTCCCCTATGAATGCCAAAGCGGCTCTAAATTTTGGGAAGGTTTCCCGTAAATCTCGCCATTCATATTCCAACTGTGTGCGTCTAATTTCAAGTGCCGTACATCATTATACTTATAGCAATTCAACAGCTCTTTCTCCGCAAGGTCGAGGGGAAGAGATGTTGACACGAATCTAGCGCTGAGAAACGGCGGTCGTCCAGTAAACCTCGCGGCTGTTTTGTCATGGCTAAATATTGTATCAAACAGCCTGCGATGCATTTATGCCGAGATAGAGCTGGGTCACAGATAAGGGTTTATATGCCCTTTAAGATGGAATATGATGGTATTATGGTAATTCCATTTCTAATTCCATTTCCTCAGAGATATAACTAGCTAACGGCCAGCTTGTAAACAGACGATCAATCAAATTTATTGCATGATCGCTGTCCACATACCTAACACAAAATGAAGCGAATGATCGCGACATGTAATCGCGACACGTGTCAGTTGGACGCACCCTACACTGTAAATGATGATGGACACCTGGCTGGGTTACAAATTTATTAGATTCAGCCATGGCGAGGCAGAGCAAGGTCGGAAATTGAGAGGAGATGCTTGATAACACGGGGCAGGTGAGACCAGATGTGCGCAACTGAAACAAATGTCATTCAAAGGATAGGAGTATCTATTGCAACGAATCATGGGTCATGAAAAACATTGAACCTGCCCAATTTCGAGACCAGAACGTGAATGTCCGCTGTGGGCCTCTGCAAATACCTTCTTAAAATAGAATAAACCCACTCTCCCCAACAAAGGCCGTGTAGCTCAATGGCAGAGCGTCTGACTACGATTAAGTATTCTTATAGTATCATTATCCCGTAATCAGAAGGTCGCAGGTTCGACCCCTGTCTCGGTCAATTTTTTTTTCGTGTTTTTCCTGCCCCGAGACAGGGCAGAGAATCCTCTGGAATAATAAGTATGCGGCATTTGAATTCGCCTTTTTTTTGTCATTGATCGTTCTCACAGTGCTGATTAGGGACTTGGTACCTGTGATTGTTTTCTGCCGCGCGCTGACCCATAGTCTGTGCGTATTCACGTCCCGCGCCTTTGTTTACATCCAATGGGGCCTTGTTTTTTATTCTGCCTAATTCTGGAATATCAGATCGCAATTCCTACCAACCCACCAAAGCAAAAAGACAGGAAGCAAAGTTGCTTAAATGCCTTCTGTATCGGCCTCCAGAGAACGCAAAGTCAAGGATCAAAAACACGGATCGAATCGAGAGGGCACAGTGCCGCGAATCAGCAAATCGACCCAAAAGGCATCGAAGCCCATTGCCAATCAAAATAATGCAAGGTCCACAGCCGCTGGACGCAAACGCTCTTTAGAAACTGCGCACGATGATCAGACATCTACCACCACTTCTGGCATCTCAAAACGGGTGAAAACCGGCTCAATTAGGTCCAAGGAGCCAACCAAATTAGCCACCATCAACAATGCGCCTACCGCGAAGCTCACGGTTCTTGTTTTTGGCGGTGGTGAAATGGGCGAGCTTGGTCTTGGACCGAAGAAGAACGAAGCCCTACGTCCTACGCGCAACCCACATTTATCTGCTTTCGATGTTGTCCAAGTCGCCTGTGGCGGCATGCATACTGTTGCGCTGACGTCGGACAATAAAATTATTACCTGGGGTGTGAACGATGAGAACGCTCTTGGAAGGGATACGCAGTGGGACGGCAAGCTTCGTGACATGGACGCCGCTTCAGAGGATGACGAGGACGACGAGGACATGAATCCCTTAGAGTCGACTCCTATGCAAATCCCATCTAACTACTTCCCTCCACATATACGATTTGTTCAGGTCGCTGCTGGCGACAGCTGTAGCTTTGCGCTCACCGATACTGGCCAAGTTTATGGATGGGGCACATTCCGCGTAAGTATGTATTTTGCCAGCTAGCCATCTTATTCTAATCTCGTCATTAGGACTCTCGGGGTGATAAAGGTTTTAGGTATAACGAACGTGGAGAGCTGGTTGAGAACCAAGAAAGACCAATCCGTATCCAAAATCTCCAAAATATCACTCAGATTTGCTGTGGCGTTGACCATGCATTGGCTCTTGATATCCGAGGTAATATTTGGGCCTGGGGCTGTAATGAGCAATACCAATTTGGCCGCCGACTTATTGGACGTGCCTCTAATTCCCTTATACCTAATCAAGTTCGAGTCTGCCGCAATAAAGCCAAGTATATAGCTTCTGGGAGCTATCACTGCTTTGCAGTTGACAAGGATGATAACGTCTGGGGCTGGGGCGCAAACAATTTCGGTGAAGCCGGAGATGTTGAAACGGCCGGCGATGAAGGGGCATTCATCACGCCAACTAAGCTTGTTGGTCTCTGCCAGAAGAAAGTCTTGGTTTTAGATGGCGGTGCCCATCACTCAGCCGCGGTCACCGCCAATGGCGAATGCTTTGTATGGGGTCGAATGATGGAAGGACAGCTTGGTATAGACTTTACTCCCGAGCAACTACAAGATTCGACGCTCGTTCGTTGTGATGAGCGTAACAAGCCACGCATTTGCCTACGCCCTACTATTGTCCCAACCATGGCGCATCAACAAGTCACACATGTTGCATGCGGCTTAGATCACACCATCTTGATCGATAAGCCTGGCAATGCCTACTCAACGGGCTACGGCTTCCAGGGTCAGCTTGGTCTTAACTCTAGCGACGATGTGAAAGTTTTTCAGCGCATCACGGATAAAAGAATCAAGGGCGAGTTGATCTGGGCCGGGGCGGGTGGGCGATTCTCTATCATGGCTGAGTCTGCGAGTACATCTTCCAGTTAACCTTTGTAGTTTGAAACAATTTATTTTCCAAAAATTTGAGAAAGCAGCAGCTGAGACGGAACAGGCAATAGTTGTTGTCCAGCGATAGTGCTAGTTCATATTTGCCGATATCTATCGGTATAGCTAGATGTGTGCTGCTGTGCTGACATTATCATCCCGATACGGGGGGGTTGATGAGACAAAGCAATGAACGCGCGTGCGTTGAGTAATTACACGTATCTATACCGAATTGGTAAGTCAGCTAGCTCCTTGCTCCGGGTGTGGCTGACCGGTCAGAACCTTAAGTCAACTTCTTTATTAAAGTATCCGGAGGCTCAGTTGCATTTTGTATTGTAGAGAATACGTTGCCATGTATAACCGACTTGGCCGTCCACGCAACTACCTGTCTGATAATCAGTAGCCGAAATGGATTGCCATTCTTGCTGAATTCCAAAAGCCACGATTGAATTCAATATTGAACAGTATTTCCCCCCCACAACACTTGGTAGGAAATGGCCAGCTGAGCTTCCTTCATGGGCCTGATGTGGCCGCACAAAATGCCAGGCGCACGTGGGGTGACGTCAGGGGTCAACCTGATGGGCACAATATTTCGAATCCGCGGCGGCACAATTGGCGCTCTGAAACGTTTGGGGTAACATTGAACATTGGGAGCTACGCCCCGCAAACCGAAAACAGGCTCCATGTCTCATTGACCAGACATCATTCATCTCAAAAAGGGCTTTCTGGTCATCCAAGACAGACGCGCCAGTGTGGTTCTGAAGATAACGCGGGGCGGGACGCTCACATCCACGTGACTAGTCCGCCCTTTGACCAACCCTGTTGACTCCTGATTCCGAGTTCAAAGTGTCAATCATGCGCCACGCGACTAGTAACCACTAATGACGTCTGGGGCCGGTTCCCTTTACATTCGACGTCGAAAATGGCTGCCTCTCCACCCCCTGGGTATCTCTCTGACACCGAGTTCCGTTTCCCCAAAGACAAGGCCGATGCTATTATTTCCACCGTCAGCTTTCCCCGCAAAGAATTCTGCCGGTCCGTCATCTGGTTTCCGCCTTCTCAACATGATGGCATTCGTCAGTCGATAACATCACCGTTTCAGCGATCCTCTAACCCGGCACTCGGGCCCCTCGAACGGTTACCCGCAGAACTCTTGAATAACATCTTGTTGGGCCTAGATCTGCAATCCCTGTTCAACTTTGGGCAAACAAATCTCAAGTCGAGAGAGGCGGTATATTCTCTCAAGCAATACCGGTTGGTCCTCTCGCACGGACTCAACCTTGTCTGTGCCTTGCTGCGAACGGGAGTTGCCACGAGCGTTTCCTTACTGGACTGTTACCGAGCACTCTGCACAGAGGCTTGCGCCATATGCGATGGGTTTGGTGGGTTTATTTCCCTGTTAACATGGGAACGATGCTGTTACAGATGCTTTCAGGAGGCACCCGAGCTCCAAATGTACTCTCTCACTGCTGTTAAAAGGCAGTTCCAATTGCCCAAGTGTGACATGGATCAACTTGAAAGGTTCAAGACTCTGCCTGGAACATACAACATGGAGCAGTCCACATACAAATCTCGCATGACCATTGTTTCTGCTTACAAGGCACTGATGTTTGTGGACGAGTATCCATACCGACCGAGTCCGGCATCGCTCGTGCAGCGAGGGCAAATTCTCAACTTTATGGGGACGTGTGCGCTTCCTTATTATGATACACGAACAGGCCAAGTCGAAGAAGGTGTGTCCTGTGCCGGATGTCAACTGCTTGTCGCAAACGGCTGTGTCATGCGCGAAATGCCGTTCTGGTCATGGGCATACGAGGCTCGCAATACGCTATATTCGCGGGATGGGTTTCTGGAACATTTTCGGTGGTGCAAGCAGGCACAGCGTCGCTGGAACGAGAGTGATGAAGGGGAAAAGCTGCCTCCCGATTTGCAGAGTCTGCTCGATCACTCCCGTCAAGAGGTTGATAAGAATACGTAAGCTATTGGCGGATAAATTGTCAGGGCGCGTCGCATGTCTACCGCCTGCGCCAGTAATAGACATGACTCAAAAAGCAGACACATCTCTGGGCTTTCGGACATGCAATCTTGTCTAGGAAGTGGACGATGACGATTCTTTTGAAAGCGAACATTTGACCTGTGAGTCGGGCAGCAAGTCAGGCATCTTTGTCACATCACCTGGAGCATTTACCAGAGACATACTTTCATTCACCCCCTGCCCCCTCTTACCTACTTGGAGGATGGGAAGTAAATGGTCCCGAGCCAGTTGGCTGCCAAGACCAAGCTCGACTAGAACATGTTGAGATATTTTGTTGCAAGCATAGGCCAGTACTCATTGGATGCAAATATTGTGGTATTGAGAACAAGGACTTGGAAAATAAGAAAACACATAGCGATACAATGTCCTGGCTGTCAGTTTCAAATACTACTCTAAATCACTGTCTAGTAACCATATCAGCTTTGAAACGTCGACGACATCGCCAATTTGGACTTCAGATCTCGCGGGCAGTATGCGGGCATGTCCAATGCTGCCCCCACGTAAAAGAAAGGGTGGAAATACCCCATACAAACGAATGCAATATTCATCCATATCGTCGGATCTGACAGGGGCATCCAAACTGATCCGATCGACGTGTGTCAGGAGGTATATGTCTTGCGGTATTGACGATCCGACAAGCATCCGTGGGTAGTACTACGGCTAGAGAAGCGTGATCCCCGTCCATGGTGGCGTTCAGCTTGGTTCTTTTGTCTACACTAATATGCAAGTTACTACATCCGTCCAACGTGGCATATTCCCCCTGCAACGCGGAACCTGTGAGGTTGCATGAACAAAGCCCGCAATATGCAGATTCCCCTCAATCCTGTGCTGCATCTGCAAAGGCGTAGCATTGATCAAATCATCGATGTTGTCCATCACGGAATATCCAATGACATATTTGCCACTTGGCAATAAAATGCATCATGTCGGACGCACGGTCGGTTGGGACGAAATTACGGCGCCCGAGCAGTGACGCCACTGTTGGACAAAGAAACTCATGGGACGGTGCCGATATAAATACAAAGCGCTTTGATTGATGCATTTACTTGGTTTCACGGCGATTTCTGCCTATCATTAACGAGCCAATATCAACAGCGCATCGTTTCGTCCGACAAGTTACTCTGTGCCCGATATGTCTCAAGAAGGTTCGGAAGAACAGAATGCTGTTCTCTCCTATTTCATCGGCCCAAAGGGTTCCAATTTGCCCGACTTCAGAGCAAACATAAACACCATTTTGGATGAGCTGCTCGAGGCCAGGCTCAATTATTTTCCCGAGGATGAGGTACTTTGCCCAAACAAAACCCTCCCCCGGGGCTTATTTCGCACCACTAACCACTATTTACAGAAATTCATCACCGCCAAAGTCAGACGCTCGCCGGAGTTTCAGCAGATCAGAGATAACCTGGGCAATGCCGTGCGCAAGGCCGCTCAGCTCTTGGGCGAGCACTCGGTGCCGTTCTGGTCGCCGCGGTACGAGGCTCACATGTGTATGGACTTGACCATGCCAGCATTGTTGGGGTACTTCATGACCATGTTGTATAATCCCAACAACGTCGCCCTTGAAGCAAGTCCCATCACTACCTTGGTAGAGCTCAAGGTTGGACAACAGCTCTGCACTCTATTTGGCTACAACACGGAGATTCCAAAATCCCCATCCGCCGACATCCCCGTAGGTTGGGGTCACATCACCTCTGGTGGCAGTGTTGCGAATCTGGAATCCATGTGGGTTGGTATGTACACGTCGAATTTTCGCTTGCTTCCTTTTCGGCCTTTCAAGATGGAGCAATGCTAACGTACAGCACACAGCGCGAAATCTTAAATTCTACCCCCTAGCTCTCGTGCAGGCAATGAAAGAGGGGGACCTAAAGTTTGTCGCCGACAGGTTCAAGGTCAAGCCCTGTATGCCTGGTGCTGAAGAAAAGCTCCTCGTTGAGATGAGCACTTGGGAACTGCTCAACCTCCGTCCCGAAACTGTTCTGGATCTTCCCCACAAGCTCAGCGACGAGTTTGACATCTCGAGCAAGTTTATAGAGGATGCCCACAAGCCATATAATATCCAAACCGTTGGTAGAGAACCCCTCGAGAAGTACTTCAAGGTAGAAAAGCAAGCCAAGTATCTCATCTCAACGACACACCACTACTCGTGGCCAAAAGCAGCAGGTATGCCGACCCCCGTACCATGTAGACAGCAGACTCCAAGATGATGAGCTAATTGACCCCGTCAGCAATTACTGGTTTGGGTTCGGGAGCCATTATTAATATTCCTGTCGACAACGATGCCCGCGTTGACCTCCAGGTGCTGGAGGAGAAACTGCTGGATTGCGCCAAGAGCCAGACACCTGTATACGCAGTCGTGGCCGTAATTGGCTCAACCGAAGAAGGGGCTGTTGACAGACTATCCAAGATCGTGGAGCTGCGGAAAGAGTTGCAGGACAAACACGGCCTGTCTTTTCTCATCCACGCCGATGCAGCTTGGGGCGGCTACTTTGCCACCATGCTGCGTCGAACCAAAGACGGGCCAGTCGAAACCAAGCATATTGGGACGGCATCTGGGGAAGACGATGTTTCTTTCACAGCAGAAGGAACCTCTGATGTCAAAAGACTTGTGCCGGCTCTTTGTTTGAAGAAGACATCGGAAGAGGATCTCTTGGCTCTGCAGCATGCAGACTCGATTACCGTGGATCCCCATAAAGCCGGTTACATTCCATATCCTGCAGGAAGTTTGGTGTACCGAGATGGAAGACTGCGACACTTGGTAACATGGTCCGTCCCCTACCTTTCGCAGGGATCGTCTGACAACATTGGCATATACGGCGTTGAAGGAAGGTGAGTAGTATCTGAACGGCGGCCACCAAGGTAGGCATTACTGATTTCACTCTCTTCTTCAGCAAGCCGGGTGCGGCAGCAATGTCGGCGTGGTTCTCGAACCATACCATTGGCCTGAATCCCAGCGGCTACGGAATGTTGCTGGGTGAAGCGGCTTTTACCAGCGGAAGGGTAACGTACCATGCTCTCCTTGAGATATCCCACGCGAAGCTAATTTCTCTCAGCTGTCTGCATATTACGCCACCATTGACAACGAATTCTTCACCTGCGTCCCCTTCAACATGCTGCCTGCTGAGGAGGAGGGCGCCAAAAAGTTTGATTCCGACGAGGCGAACAAGCAGAAACAATGGATCCGCACAAACATCATAGGAAAGTCCAACCAGCAAATCATAAAGTCCCCAGAGGCTGTCAACATGCTCCGGATGCTAGGGTCAGATCTCAACATTAATGCATTTGCCATCAACTGGCGAAATAAAGATAAGAGCCTCAACAATGACCTAGACGAGGCAAACTACCTCATGAAGAGAGTCACGGACAGGTTGTCCGTCACCTCGGCCAATACGGATCCGACCAAAATCCCCATGTTTTTAACCTCGACCAAGTTTGGGCCAGACGACTACGGCAAATGCGCCCAGACCTTCATGGAGAGAATTGGCGTTCAGAAATGCAACCAGGGTCTCTTTGTGCTGCGCAATGTAGTCATGAACCCGTTCCCAACCGAGATGGACTTTGTCGAGAAACTCATGCACAAGTTCGAAAAGGTGGTCAAGGAGGAAGTCAAGGTGTGCCGAGAGAGAAACACCCCCAGCCACCGGGTACAATTCCTCGTGCAAGGGCCTCGTACTCTCCCGCCAGGCACCGACGTATTCCTCGTCTACCAGACATCGTTCCACAGCGCGACGCGACGACAGCAGCTTATTCTCTCGGCGGCGCTGGACGATCAACTGGCCGCGTTTTACAACTCCCTGATGGAGAATGACCCCTCTGATGTAGTTATTCTGAGGTCCTGTCACAAACTTGACATCAAGGAGCACGTCGCTATGCAAGTCAAGCGAGGACAGCCTCCGCATCTCGATGTGGAAATACACAGAAAGGGCTACGAGTATGTGCAACCCCTATTCCTGCATCACGTCACAGAACAAACTCTAACAGGGGATAGATCTGACGCTCAGACGGGCGTGGTGACCTTTAAGAAGGTCATCAAGAGTCGGCCGCTGAATTCTGCCAACCAAGACGGGGACTACCCTGCCCACTTTATGCCATTCTACCTGTACGGCACGGAGAAGCAGAAGCATATTAGCCATGTGCTCGTTCGGGCACCCAATATCGACCTCTCGGCCAGCGACGTCTCCTTTTCTGAGCCCCTCCCCAAAGCGGTCAATGACCTCTTGGGCAAGGGCTTGATCCTGGGTCTGTCGGACATTCCCGAGGCGTCTAAGCAGCCCATGCCGGTGCAGAACAAGCTCCTCCCCAAGAACTTTTTCTTTGGCGAGAGGAAAAAGTTCAAGGTGGAGGTGTGGGAGGATCCTCACGAGTCTTGGAGCGCAGGGCCGGGGCTGCTCCAGGGGCTCAAGAATAAGTTGTATACTGGGACCATGACGCTTGGCCACTCGGTCCTGGTTGATGCCGAGGGACCTAATAGGGACAAGTTTGTTCGTATTACGGTGGATTCGGATTCCTGGCAGAAGGAGTTGGATGCCATTGCGGCCGTGTTGAGTGGCTCGAGTTGAGGTATGAGTCGAGGATCTGGGAGGTGAGATTGTGACATTGGGCTAGACTTTGCGGTTACGAGACTCAAAAGCTGAATTGAATACAAAGTCTAGTTCATCGCAATGTTCCTTCTTGTCATCTTGACGGACGTGCTCGTGCCGTGGTCGTCTTGACAATGGAGGCCAAAGTACCGGTTGCATCATGAGGAGAAATGTCACTGCTGCGTTGTCCATCTGGATGTGTTGGCCAATAATGTCAAGTATTTTATTATGGGATTTGGGAAACGTATTGACAATATGCAGAGGCCATATCGCCTCCTTGGCCTGACGTGCGAATAATCTGCCTACTGGCTTCTGGCGGCTCAGCAGTTGGTTCCCTCTATTTTATCATCGATTGAACTCGAGAAGGATACATTCTGGGATTTTCCAAAATGTGGGAGCGTATTCCATTGACTACATACAGGCAAGAACAAGGCCGTAACCTGCTGCTCGATTGTTGATGGCGATGAAGCGGCAGAAAACTGTGAATACTCAATTATCTCAGTGTTTTTCTGTGACCACTCGCTAGCCAGAAAGACGACCATTTCCAGTTTCCAGTGTAATTGAGAGAAGCGGGAAGCTGGATCAGTCCCTGGAATAGGTTTGTTGCCGGCCGGTGCGCTGTGCAGTAGACACTGAGATTCACGAGTTCTTTGGGTATGTAGGCATTACCGAGGCTGGGTAGTCGACTGATGATCTATCATCATCAATAAGTACTACCTGCCATCAAGTCTCTTGTCAATGCATCGCCGGGTGCAATAGCCGTGTTTTTGGTGCAACTGGGCGGATTAGGACAAGACGGGCATCCAAGTTGGCGCCCATGACTGAACGGCGGCCATGATGCAGCAGACTGTCAATTTCGAAGCATAAAACCATTCTTTCGGGCATTTGTCAAGCATGCTAGGGTAGGACGAGGCAGAATATCTGAGGACCTATTAGGCGGCCACCAATGTTGCCGGGAATCGTAACACGAGCAAGCCAAGTCTAGATATTACTGGCTACAAGAAAACGGAACCCAAATCTCCATCATGAAAAATAAAGCCTCGGTATAAACGAGTCATAAAACAAAAAACGACACCTCCAACGCCCCGTAGTAAAGTGGCGCGTCACTGGGGGTATCTGCCATGTCGACCTGTTTCTTGTTCTTCATGGCAGAGCTAGTCCTTGCTACTCGCTTTCCTTTGTCGCCGTCTTTTCGACTAGTCGCACGCACAAGCAACCCCATTCATCATAAACAAGCATTTGATGGAGCATTTGCTGTCCATATTTGGCAAAATACAACAATGCCCTCCCCGCATCGGCATTCCGCTGCGGATACGAGGTACTACTGACAGATGCAAATCTCGCCATCAAGAGGGGTTCGTGTAACAACACGTGTCTGGATCAAAACATGGCTTCACACTCCATCGCAGGCTTCTGCGTACGTAGTCGACGGGCTATATCAAGGCCAGCTAGTGCAGGAGACGCCACGGAAACCAACACACAACATTGAACCAAAACTCTAAAGCTCCAAATGCCCCAGAAGAAGCCACAGCCACTACTCTAATCTGTTGCGGGCGTGGAGATTCGGCCGCCGAGTTTAGAACAAATGCGGCCGTCTAGGCAGCCTTTAAAAACATCCACGATTCCCATGCCATTGCATGAAATCCTGCCATCTTTCGACAAGAGCCATACGTACACCAGCTCAGTCACAACAGTCTGGTGCCAATTGCGTTGAATTGCAATTGCAACTGCTTCCTTTCTCTCCTCCCAAGGGCCCGAGTCCCCGTGTTGGGATTCTGCTCAGCCAAGACTCGGCTGCCAGCGCCTTTCCCGCGACCCCCATCCATCCGGCGTGCTTTGCCCGAAATGTCCAGCAAGTCCGAGTCCTCTGGCCTCGAGGGCGAGCCGCGACACCTGTCGGTGGTGGGAGGCGAGCACATGGGTTCCGACGGCGACGCAGGCGTCCGCGACGCCGTGTTTGGCAACTTGACGGAAAAGGGGCCCAACTACCGCAATGCAAGTTCTCCCGAGTTGCTCTCATGGTGAGAAAAAACTGACCAATGGACAGGTTGGATGGGTCGGAACCGTGGCACTCATGATGAAGACGCAGATTGGCCTGGGCGTCTTGTCGATACCGGCGACATTCGACACTCTGGGGCTCATCCCGGGCCTCATTTGCCTGCTGGCCATCGCGGGCATTACTACGTGGTCGGACCACATTGTCGGCGTCTTCAAGCGGCGGCATCCAGAGGTGTATGGCATCGATGACGCTGGTGGCTTAATGTTTGGCCGCATCGGGCGGGAAGCTTTTGGCGCCGCCTTTTGCGTTTGTAAGTGACTGGTCTGGTCTCGTCGCATCCTTTTCCCAGCGGGGCGCTTGAGACAGATCGTGTTCCTAGATACGCGGTGCTAACTCGGGTTAGATTGGATCTTTGTTGCCGGGTCAGGAATGCTGGGCATTTCCATCAGCCTCAACGCCATGTCGTCTCACGGCGCATGTACGGCCGTCTTTGTCGCCGTCGCCGCCATCATCGGCTTCATTCTCTCGAGCATCCGCACGCTAGGCCGCATCAGCTGGCTGGCATGGATAGGGCTCACCGGAATCCTTGTTTCAAGTGAGTCGGCTCTTGTTGATGCCGGCCGCAAGTACTTACTTTGGCAGTCGTGCTGGTGACCATCGCCGTGGGCGTTCAGGACCGTCCCGCGGCCGCGCCGCAGCAGGGCCCGTGGGTGTCGGGCTTTGAGCTCTTCAAGACGCCGTCCTTTACTTCGGCCGTTTCGGCCATATCGTCCATTGTTTTTGCCTATGCGGGCACCCCGGCCTTCTTCGCCATCGCGGCCGAGATGCGCGAGCCGCGCCATTACACGAGGTGTCTGCTCATCTGCCAGACTGGGGTGACGGTGACATATGTATCGATTGGCGCCGTCGTCTATTACTTTTGCGGCTCCTACGTTGCGTCTCCGGCCCTGGGTTCTGCCGGCGCAGTAGTCAAGAGGATCGCGTATGGCCTGGCCCTTCCGGGTCTTGTAGCAACAACAACCATTGTTATCCACGTGAGTATTGCCCCGGTTGCAGCCTGACAAAGTCTTTCAACAGGACACGTGCTGATTCTACTGCCGCTTGCTCCTATAGTTTCCGGCCAAGTATGCTTTTGTTCGTATCTTGCGCGGATCAAGGCATCTGACGGCAAACAACCTTGTTCACTGGGCGACTTGGCTCAGTTGTACCTTGGTCACCACAGTCATTGCCTACCTCATAGCCAGTGGCATCCCCGTCTTTGGCGGCTTGGTCTCCCTCATTGGGGCCCTCCTCGGTACACTCATGTCTTTCCAGCCCATGGGCTGCATGTGGTTGTACGATAATTGGAGCAAGGGCAAACAAGATAGAACCATCAAGTGGGTCTTGATGGTTATTTTCAGTGTCTTTGTAGTTGTATCAGGCACTTTTTTGATGATTACCGGGACTTATGGGTCAGTTGTCGGCATTATAGACTCGTACAAGAAGAGCGGAGGGTCTGGAGCGTGGACGTGTGCGGACAACTCCAACTCGGCATAATGTATGGCCACGGCTATGTAGATGAATGAATCACGCAGAACAAAAGAGTCCGGGTGCTGTTTTCGTTTCGAGCGCATCTCTGGGCAACATCAGATGATGCGGGGATTCCGCGCCACCTTGAAGCGCCCCCAGACGCCACGGCTGAAGTTCCGACAAACTTGCTCAATCTGGCTTGGTCTTCATTCAGGTGAGAATCTGCATGGTTCTTGTTTACGCGAGGGAGCATGCCAAGTGCCTCATCTGGCGCGGGGTCATCCGATGACGACGAACGCCGGGACAAGCTAGGCAAATTCCTCCCGCCATGGCTGCAGGCGTTGCGCCGGGTATGCTGTGTGCTACTTATTCTTTTGCTGGTAAACCTCGGTAGATAGATACTGAATCCAAGAAAATGGACTACAGGAGGGACTTCCCACATCAGTTGACGGCTCCATCAACGCGACAACTATCCTGCTCGACTCTAGCCAATTGCATGCGAAATCCAACTACCAGATACACCAGTCAGTTTCGTCGGTTTAGATGCTGTCCTATTACAAAAGGGTGCATAGGTTCGTCTTGCAACGCCACGTCAAGCTCTGTCTTTACTCCTCCAGAGCCCATGTTCCCAGCCATCAAAGGTAAAGGCAAGGTTTAGCGTTAGAAGCTCCATGGTTCCGTCAAGTCTGAGTGACTTGAGATCGATTCTCCAATCTTCAAGCAGGGGGTCGAGTGTAGTCAAAGCCGGCGACCTTTAGTTCCCTTGAGATATCATGACAAAGTCATGAGGTCAGTTCTTAGAGAAATAGTATCTTTCAATCTTGCCGTACACAGAAATGGTTGAACTACTCTTTTAAAACATGTGGGGTGAATTGCCCATTACGAGCCTAATACTCGACTTCACAGCGCTCAGGGGCTACCTATTCAAATACAGAATGACGATAAATAACAGTTTTGTATAGGGCGGCAGGAGGTTATAGGTAGCGTTGACAACTCTTCAAAGATTTGACGGATCTATAAAAGGCGGATTTCGAATACTAAATTGGTGGGCGTACTTTCCCTTTTTGCTAGGCTCGCTCATCGACCCATTATTTACTATCTGGCACTTTCACTGCCCCGATGTATACGTAAGTAATATATATGGTAAATTGTATATACTTGTCGCAAATATATACTAATACATTATAATACAATACCTGATAACCAGGTACCGGGTAAGGCGTGAGCCCACCGAGCAATTCACTTCTTATAAGGTTCAGATCATCCAAATTATCATTTACTATCAGTTCTGGTGCATTTTTAGGACTCGTCCTTCCTCTGAATTCACATGTCACCATTTACGCATCAATCCCACAGAGCCCTGTTGTGAATTTTATAGTCGCCGGTCTCAAATGCGTATTGACTGCTCTCATGGATTTGGATGGCGATTCTTCGCTATCCGCCCAGCTTCCAGACTTTGATTCCCTAGCGGATGAGAGTGCGAGGATTAATTCATTATTGTTCCATCCCGGCCCTCTTCCTCCTATTAACCCGTCTTTATCTGCGATCCCAGAGACGTAATTTATGGGTGATTCTGATAAGAGTGAATCATCTCCAAGGAAAAATGAAGATTTCCGCGCTTAAAATGAGAGGCTTACTGCAAGTCGTGGCATAAAATGCAGACATGGAAGTTTCAGCCATTAACTTGTTCTTGTCTCAGTCGACCAGACCCTATAGCAGTCGCTATAGCACCCTGCCTTCGCTGGCCGCCTGTATCCTCATCCCTGCCACAGGCCCACAGCTGCCCTCTGAAGAGCTTCGTTTCCCGTCAAGTGTCGTAGCTTCCTTTGCCGTGAGGTTGAGCTCTGAATGGCTTCGTCACGTCGTAGCCAGCTCCCCGTGACTCCCACGGGCCAATATTTTATTATTCCAAAGATCAATTGGATACCTGATCCAAACAAGCTCGTGCCTCACAAGGTCGACGATCCGCGCAGCATCAATTGATCTCTGGTTTGGGCGGTGTGTGGCCCAACGACCCACCTGCGGCAGAAACGAATAATGACATCATTGATGATTTTCTGCTCTCTTACACCACCTTCACCTTTCAACTTTCCAGCCGTCGGCCTACGAAACATTCTCAATTCCCCTCGCGAAAATGGCCTCCGTATACAAGAGGCTCTCTGCCGACACTTGTATCAAGTCTGGTGCCGAGGATGGCTCCCCAAAAGCCACACCAAAGAAGGCGCAGAGAGTCCTGTTGCTCTCTTCGCGGGGCATCAACGCACGGTAAGCCCTTACCATTACCCTCGGCCGCCTGGAACTTCAGAGCTCTAGTATTGACCCAGTCATCTTGCTGCAGTCACCGACATCTCCTCAACGATCTCGCTACCCTCCTTCCTCACTCTCGCAGAGAGTCTAAATTCGATTCCAAGAAGAAGCTTCACGATCTGAACGAGCTCGCCGACCTATACAACTGCAACAATGTTTGTCCTTCAACCCCCCATCACTTTGGCTGCGATTCACAGTCACAAGGTGTACTAAGACGTGCCTAGCTGCTCTTTCTAGAGGCTCGAAAGCAGCAGGATCTCTACATGCACATTTCCAAAGCCCCCAACGGACCCCGAGCTCGATTCCATGTCCAGAACTTGCACACCATGTAAGATTTCTTCAAGAGACGTATGGGTAGCTTTATAACACCACCTTTTTTGCGACCTAGGTCCGAACTCAACTTTATGGGAAATAGCTTGAAGGGGTCGAGACCAATACTGTCCTTCGACGCCGCATTCAATGGCGAGCCCTACCTTCGTCTCCTCCGCGAGCTCCTGACCCACACATTCGGCGTACCACCCACTGCGAGGAAAGCCAAGCCTTTCATCGACAGAGTGCTAGCCTTCATTGTGGCTGACGGCCGTATCTGGGTACGCCACTATCAGATCGCCGAAGAGGAAGACGATGCAAGCAAGGACGAGAAGCTATCTCTCCGTGAAATTGGCCCTCGTGAGTTTAGATTACGAAGATGGAGTCATGTCCAGCTAGCTAATTTTCTACCTTCAAGGTTTCTGTTTGACGCCCATTTACATCCAGGAAGGGTCATTCGGCGGTCCGATCATCTATGAAAATAAGCAGTTCGTTTCACCCAGCCAGGTCCGGGCAGATCTCCGGAGACGCGACTCAGCCAGGCACAAGGCGCGCAAGGCGCAAGCTGTGGCGCATTTTGCCAAGAAGGATGACCTTGGTATTCGGACAGGTCCTGGAAGACTTCAACGTAGTCCTTTGGATCCAAGGGAATTGTTCACCTAGAACAGAACAGCCACAGACAACCGCTTTTCGATTAGCAATGAGTCGCTCCACGTAGTTGGAGAATAAGGTATTCATCTTTGAAGTCTACGAGCTTCTCTCTATTGTATCGAGCGTCACCCAAATGCGAATAGCTTCAGTACGAAGCACATATACTTATACGCTGCTGTCAAAAAAGCCCATTCGTTCCATAAGGTGAGTCACTAATACTTGACAAAGAAAGAGAATAGTAAACTCAACGCGTGTTATGTTGTCCACGATGAAGTGGAAAGGAATTCATAGCATATTGTCGTTATCGAGCAGGGTCGTTTCAGCAACGCCACTTTTCAGGAATGCTTCAATAGTAATCAGCCTTCCTTAGAATGGTAGATGAAACAAGATAGACTTCCGCCGTCGACTGTGATAGGAAAAGAGTTGACTACGGGTTGGGCTATTCGACATGACTAACCAAATTCTTCTCATCGACATGACACACCGGTCACTGGCGACTTTCTCCCCCCGGCGGCCACCCAACATGAAACCTAGATAGTGTTCATGAAAAGCATGGTGACCATAACCCAATGTCACAAGCCAATGATCCTGGTGGACTGAAGCGAAGGGACGTGCGTGTGTTCATACACCACCTCTTCCACATTCCTGAAGTCCTCAAAAGCCGAATGAGTCCGGCGGTCTGTGGGACCTGTGCTGCGCGTATATTGAGCTAATAGCATCGTAATCAAGATGTCTCTATTTTGCTTGAGTTCTTGACAAGGCGGACTCTATCCCCTTGGGCTGCCGTTGTTGCCCATGATTTTGGCCCGAAGACTGATTTCAAATATGTCTGGCACTGTACAATCTAGCTCAATTGAATCTGTGACAACTGGTGAATCTCAACAAAATCTAGTTAAATACGCCACAAATACAGCTCCTGGCCCGTGTTAATGGACAATGCGGAGGAGTCAGAGCAACTCCCCTCAAGCTCCGCCGCCACTTTTACGGCATTCAAACGCCTTTCCGACATGACCCGACAAGAGATGACCAAAAATACAACCTGACAGATAAAAGCCCAATTGCATTGGCAGATTGTAGCCTCCAAATTAATGGAGACGCGCATACGGCTAGAGTCACTCACAGGACCCCAGCGACCCCAGCTATCCTCATCGCCGTATATCGGAGCCACATAACGATCACGAATTGAGGCACAGCAATTTGTTGAGATGCTGCCGGCCACCGGACGTTGATCATGGGATCCAGGCGTCCGGAAGCCGCTCGTAGCCGGCACAGGGCTACAAGTGCTCAGATAGCTGGTATTCATAGATACATAGAGCACGTCGCTCGATTTTCGCCGCACGAAGCAAACTCGAATACAAAGAGGCCATATACTTTGCCTGACGTTGCCCTTTACACATAAAAGCCATCCCTTACCTTGAACTGCTTAGTATTTCACACAAACTCCGTCATGACAGAAGTAGAAAGCGTGAAAACGCAACAGCGCTGCACCTGGGGCTGCCTTGCTGCTGACCTCTTGTCTGCGGCCTATGCATCAGCGCTGGTGTCTCCTTGGGCCGCAGTTGCTGATAAGTGAGTGGTAACACTGTCCAACTAGATGAGGCTGATCGTCACAGTCCTTCAAGGCGGACATGATGCTACACCAAGTTTAAGTAGTTAACCGGTGTCCCTTGAACAGACTCGTCTACAACAAAGCCATCGGATCCAGCGTATCCTGCTCATTGCGGTCTTGGGTATCCAAGCCCAGGATATTAGCCAGCTCG